GATGGTGATGATGGTGACGATGGGGAGGATGGTGAGGATGGTGAGGATGGGGAGGATGGTGATGATGTTGATGATGGTGAGGATGGTGAGGATGGTGAGGGTGGTGACTGTGGTCTGGGGCAGCCTGGAGCCTGGAGGTGGTGGTGTCTGGAGGTTGAGGCTGCACTCAGAGGGGAGGAAGGGAAGGGGTGCAGGAGCCAGGCAGAGGGATGGGGTGGGGAGGGGAAGTGTCCCAGGAGGAAGAAGGAGCAGGTAGGGAGATGGGGAAACCATGTCTTCACGTTGCCCTGGAGCGACCTCGCCCACCGAGCAGCAGCCTGTGAGGCAACAGGGAGCTGAGGCAAGCCCAGAGCCGGGCCGGGCAGGGGGGCCAGGTCGGGCTGCATAAAGGGGGCCCTGCGTGCTGGGGGGACTCCACTCGGGGACATGGAGGCCCAGAGGAACAGCCTGTGCGGGGGGCGCTGGCCGCTGCTGCTGCTGCTGCTGGGCCTGGCCATGCCCTGGCCTCCGGCCGCCGCCCGGGCCCTGAGCTACCAGGAGGCAGTGGGCCTGGCTGTGCAGGGCTTCAACCAGCGCTCCCGGGAGGCCAGCCTCTACCGCCTCCTGCAGCAGGACCCGCAGCCCCAGGGCGTGAGTGGGGGGGTGGGGGGGCTCTGCTCTGAACTGGGCCACTCCCTTGGCTTCTGATTGGCCCCCCTCAGGGCGGCTGCTCCCTCCAGGGGTCCCCCTCCCCCAGGGCAGCTGCCAGGGCTGTGTCCCCTCCCAGGGGCAGCTCCTGCCTGCGAATCTATTCTGTGCAATGAGGTCCCCCAAGCACCCCACTCAGGCTTCAGGGCTTCTGGGTCCCAGGGAAGAGCAGGCCATCGGGGCTGGGGTGTGACTGCCTGCTCTATTTATTTATTTTTAACATGTACATGTAGATATATTTTTATTATTATTTAAAAATCCTCAACCATGGTTATTTTTCCATTGATTTTCAGAGACAGTGGAAGAAAGGGAAAGACAGAGAAACATCGATGGGAAAAGGACGCATGGATTGGTTGCCTCCTACAAAAACCCTGACCAGGGCCTGGGCCGGGGAGCAGCCTGCAATGGAGACATGGGCTCTTGACCAGTATTGAACCCGGGACACTTTACTCTGCAGACTGACGCTCTATCCACTGAACAACACCAGCCAGGGCTAAATAGATTTGTATTGATTTCAGGGAGGAAGGGAGAGGGAGAGAGAGAGAAACATCCATGATGAGAACCATGGATCCGCTGCCTCCTGCACGCCCCCTCCTGGGGATCCAGCCTGCAGCCCGGGCAGGAGCCCTTGCTCAGGAATTGAACCCAGGACTGAAGGTGCCCTGAGCCAAAGGGACCAGGGCACGGCCCTGCTCTGAGTGTCCCGCGCTCATCTGCCTCCCACACAGGAGGCCCCAGGAGGCCCTGCGCCCGGGTGCCCTTGGAGCCGGGCGGGCTCTGCCCTCTCCCCCTGCCCACACCCAGCACCAAAGCAGCGCCAGGGACAGGGCAGGGCTGCTGCAGGCTGTTCTCTTTGGAGGGGGCGGGGCGGGGGGAGACCAGGGGACCAAGCAGAGGCCCAGCCCTGGTCTCCCCACTTTCTCTCCTGCCAGGACCTGAACCCAGACACCCCGAAGCCGGTGAGCTTCACCCTGAAGGAGACCGTGTGCCCCAGGACCACGCGGCAGCCCCCCGAGCAGTGTGACTTCAAGGAGAACGGGGTGAGCTGGGGGCTGGGGCACCCCGAGATGCTGGACAGGAGGCCTCGGGGCGCATTCCCAGGGACGGGGCGGCCGGGAGGGCCCAGCACCGGGTGGAGGTGTGACCTGCGCCCTTGCAGCTGGTGAAGGCGTGCGCGGGGACCGTCACCCTGGACCAGGACACCGGCTCCTATGACGTTGTCTGCGAGGGGGTGAGCGGCCCCTTCTGAGACCTGGGGGCCGAGGGGTGTGGCGCCTGGAGCGTCCTGGGCCCCGGAGCCCCT